TGTACACAGGATTTTGTGTGGCTACAGATAAGAAAAGTGTCGATAAATATTTTGGGGCACATTCAGTAGACAATAGGAGACATGGCAGAGCCACATAAAACAACATGATGAACATCTCTAAAGATCTTCATCCCGTTTAGCTCCTCCTCTTACATATTCTTTCTTAGGCTTTACAAATGACCCATTAACATAGGGGCTATTTTCCTCTGGTTTTTATAGTTAAGAGGACTGTAAGTCAGAGAGATTGAAATCTGTGACCTAAAGTCATGTGACATGTACTAGAGCCACATCTTCTATTTTTAAACCTTGTGCTCTTCTCTCAACATCATGTATCTCATTGAGGGTTCTCCCAGAAGCAGACCTCCAGACAGGGATTCAAGGGCAAGGGTGCATTTGAACGGCTCCAGGACCACTAGTGGGGGATGGGAACGTGACACACGAGGAGGAGGCAGTGTGCATTGAACCAGTGACTTCAGTGGGCAATAGGAACTGAACCCTACAGGAGAAATCTGGGAAACAATACAAGACACAATCCTTGTAATCATCCCACCAGAGGGATGAGGAAGCTTGGATGTTTATGGCCCAGTTACCAGGGATCCTTGCTTCAGGGATTCTCCCAGGCGTATTAATTCCACAGCACTTCCAGCTTGTTGCAGTTCTGAAAAAAGTCCTCAGACACCAGACACAGACAGTTTGGCCCAGGCACCTGGCTTAGTTAGCCTGGAGGCATGTGAATAGCAGCAGACTGACGAGGCCCACTACTCCATGCCTTAGGGGAGCCCAGCCTCTGCTGCTGCCTTCCTGTCCTTACCAGCCAAGCACAAGAAGTAGCGATCATCTCAGACTCCAACAGCATCCAGGGAGAACAAGCCCCTGTTTAGGGTAAGGTGAGATTTAAAGGGACCATTCATTCCGACAGAGCCACATCTGGGAATCACACTGTAAGAGCAGCAACAGCTCCTGACACTGGTGGGTGGGGACATGCAGACCCACACAAGTGCATACGGCATTGCTGGTTCTGAAGTTACTTCAAGCCATAGAAAGCTAAGAATAAACCACTCAGGAGAAGCTGAACAGCTGTTCGCTGGAGCGTAAAAGCAAATGAATGGGGCTCATCATATATTCAGACACCACATCAAGCCCCTCATTATACTTGCTTAGGATTTGAAGACAGCCCAGAGATGGATAACAGGCTGGAATGAATACGGGACCCAGTGGCCTGGTCCAGCCCCCTGTTCACATCCCATTACTCACACTGCATGCAGTACTCTGAACAATCAGACAGCAGCCGAAAATCGCTTACAAATGGGAAAATACTGGGCAACAATGATATATTTAAAATTCGTTTTTAAAATTTTGCAGCCATTATAGCTGAAGTAACAGAACTCAAAATAGTTTACCCACAATTCTGCAACCACCAATAAGTCAGGCTGCTGTCGTTTTCCATGTTTCCTTCTAGAGAACTAGAAGCCTCTCAAGGAACAAAACTGTGAAGACCATACATTAAAATGGGGGGCAGGGGAGAAGAAGCAGGTTCCTCAAAGGAGTTGGAATGTTCACAAGCTTTGAAGAGGGCCTGGTCGGCCTTGGAAGGGCTAGCGATGGAGAGTGTCAAAACCAAGCCACAACCACGCCGACCAGCACCCTCTTGGGAGACACAGGACTTCAGTCAATGGGTTTTGACCGTTGCCAATTCTGCAGGCAAGACAATCCCTGTGTTAAAATCGGTCTGTCTTAGCTGGATACTATTTCTCTAGTATCTAGATCTAGTATCTAGTATCTCTAGTATCTAGTATCTCTGTGTATCTAGAAAGATACACACTTTCTCTAACTCCTTTCTTCTGGTTCCGTGATTACCAGGCACCCTTATGGCTCCGTAGATCTGCTGCACAAAGATGATGCTCCAGTTCCAATGACCTGGAATAACTCTGATCCCTATCTTAACGATCTTCTGTGGAAAACCAAGAGAGTCTCTCTCTCTCTGTCTGTCTCTGTCTCTGCTAGCAATTGCACAGGACTTGCTATGTGCCCAGCACTGTTCTAAGACTCACTACTTCACATAAATCTACTCATTTGAATCCTCTTGATGACCCTAGGAACTGTAAACACTGTTAGAACCCAAATTGTGCAGATGGGTAATGGAGAGCACAGTGGCTAACAACATGCGGCTGGTGAAGAGGTGGGGCCAGACATCAGCCTGCACAGGGTGGGCTCACAGCCCATGCCTTAACCAGCAGGCCGCACAGCCTCTCTTATTAGGTTTGAGGTCTTTAGAGGTTTTTAAGTGATAAAATGTTTATAACATGACATTTACCATCTTAAACATGTTTTTTGTGTACAATCCAGCGGCGTTCAGTACACTCACACTGCGGTGTGGCTGTTTCCACCACCTATCTTCAGGACTTGACTGTCATCCCAGGCTGAAACTCCGTCCCTATTGAACAATAACTCCCCAGTCCTGCTCCCAGCAGCCCCCAGTAACCTCTGTTCTACTTCCTATCTCTCTGAGTTTGCCTATTCTCGGCACCTCATGTAAGTAGAATTCTACAGTGTTTGTCCTTTTGTGTCTGTTTTATTTCACTTTGCATAATGTTGTCAAGGTTCGTCCATGTTGCAGCAAATTTCAGAATTTCATTTGCCTTTTTTAAAGCTGAATAGTGTTCCACTGCAAGTATTTATTGCCTTTTTGTTTGTCCATTCATCCATTGATGAACATTTGGGTTTTTTTCTCCCATTAGGGTTTGTTGCTTCCAGTTTTATCCTATATTGTGACTTCTGCTTTGTCTCCCTCTGCTCCTAGCCTCTGGGGAGAGAAAGCACCATAGTGCCAGGATAGGTATGTCTGTCCCACATGGTATTTACAATTCTCTTAGTAAGTCAATATGTTGGCATTCTAGTGTCTACTCCAGGCCTTTGCTATTTAAAGAACGGACAGACTCTGACAGCCTGACACCCCAGGGCATTGACAAGACTGAGTGTCCAGGTGTTGGAACTGGGGACTAACGAAGTCCACACTGAGACAAAGAGATGCACAGTTCTTGATGCAGGGCTCCCCCGTGCCTGACAAGTACACGTGTGCTTTGTAGGCAGCTTCTTACTTGTATCACATTCATTTCCATAAGTGTAACAGATTCTTTGTATACTTAGCTGCTAGTTGTTCAACACTTACTATGTGTCAGGCACCATGCTAGGTGCTTTTCAAGTATTACCTCATTTAATCCTGACAACAAGCCTGCAAGAATAAATGTTATTACCCCCATTTAACAGGTGACACACTAAATAATTTGTCCAAGATCACACAGCTAGAGTCGGATGGCTACATGCTATTTTATCAGGGAGGTGTACCATAATTAACCGTTGACTGTTTTCATTGAGTACAAGTTTCTGTTACTTTATATAACTCTATAAGGAGCATTTTTGTGCAATAGCTATATCTTTCTTTGATGTTAGCTTCTTATAATGTACTTCCAGAAGTACTATTACTGAATCAAGTATTCTGAATACTTTTGTGGCTCTTGATTGCTAAAATATTTACAAAAGGTCAACAAAGATGGCCAATACCAGATTCCATGCCAGACGTCCGGTACTGGTGAAATGGCACGTCAAGGAGGTCCATGGTGAAGGCTTCCCATCTCTGCTCTCTGGTTTTTTGTTTTGTTTTAGTCCAAATTCCTCCACCTGGCCCTAAAATTTCCAGTGAGTCCCATGGCACCAAGTCCTGCCTTTCTCTGCTGATGTCTTCTATTCCCAAGATGTTTTCTCTCCTGACTGCTCCTCCCCCAAACGCCTGTCCAACCTCACCTCCAACAAGCGTCCTTTTATTGGCAGGGCTCATAACTGTTATAAAAGAGGAGTCTTCAAATTGAGTCACACCAAGCTGTTAAGGAGTGATTACAACCCCTGGTGGTAATTAATAATTTGTTTTTAAGATACGGTGCCTTGGAAGTTTATTTTAAGAAATAACAGGACAGGTGCTCACAGTGGCACCTATGAGGATGCTCCTGGAGGGGCTGTCGACAACAGCAGCTGGTTAGACAGTGTAAATATTCAACAGTACTGGGTTGTTAAATAAATTACGGCAAGTCACACAACAGAATGCCATAGCACCATTTAAAATGACAATGTAGGTGTGTATTATTGACTTGAAATGGTCGGATTAAAGGGAGTGCAAATAGCACAACATTTAATATAATCAGAATTTGGGGAAGGAAGTGAATGCATACACATGTATGTACATGTGTATATGTACATTGTAATTCTATGTGTGTATATATCATATCATATATATCATCAACAAACCCCTAAAATACTGGAAGGATAAACACCAGATTTTTTTTAGGAGAATGAGAGTAAAGAATTTTTAAAAAACTTAAACTTATCTTTGAGTTAACATGTATTACTTACATCATTAAAAAACCTTTCTTGGGGGGAGTGTTTATAGTTGGCACTGCACTGGGGAGGATGAGCGTGTGAAGGCAGGCGGGTGGGAGACAGGGTGGGGGCCGGGAGCTCGGGACCCTCCAGCCCTCAGCACGGACACTGGCCCCGGCCCCTGCGCCTCCGCCCCGGCCTCTGCTCACTGTGCGCTGAAGGAAACAAGGGCTCATGTTAATTTGCCCCTTTCCAAATGGCTATAAAAAGCAAGTTGATTTAAGATTTCATGAATCCCTACCTACTCTAACATATGCTGAATATTTCTGTTGTGTACTTTTGTTAAAAATGCTTTTTAATGAGCGGGTGCCCATATGCCCCAGGAACCTGAAATGTGGCTAGGTAGGCTGGCATAATCATGCTTCCTTAATTCCCTTCCATGGGTTTCTCACAAGCTCAGCTCACTGCAGCAGTTTCCCAGGCCCAGCCATGCCGCACACTGAAGAACGAGGGGAAAGGTGGCGGAGACACTCAGAGCTTATCAGTTTACTAAGCACTTGCTTTCAACACGGTTTGGGTTTCAAGTTTTGTTTACTTTAGCATATTCTAGAACAGGGGTGTCCAACCTTTTGGCATCTCTGCATCACACTGGAAGAAGAGGAGTTGTCTTGAGCCACACATTAAATACATTGCGACATGTAATGACAAAAAAAATCTCATAATGTTTGAAGTAAATTAATGATTTCGTGTTGGGCTGCGTTCATAGCCATCCTGGGCGGCATGCGGTCCGCAGACTACAGGTGGGACACCCCTGTTAGGGCCTGATGGGAGTTGGAGCAGAGGCCATTTAGCACGGTGTTAAGAATATAGACCAAAATTAGAGCTGGGTCTGGAGCTCAGTCCTGAAACTCGCTGGCTGGGCGATCTTGGACAATTTACTGAATCTATTTTGTCCCATTTCCTCATTTGTAAAGTGGAAATAATAAAGCCTTGTCTCCTAGAGTCATGATGAGGATGGATGAGGACACCGCTTGTGAGAACTTGCCATAGTCCTTGGCACAGAGTCCTTGGCTCAACAAATGTTACCATTCTTGCTCCACTTATTGACTTATTAAGAAGGAATTATGCCACAGTGAGATGAGTGTGCGACGGAGGAAGGCCAGGGTCCTGTGGGAAGACAGCCCAGCGGCACGGCCCACAGACGTGGGGGAGCCGGGGACACTCGCAGGAGAAAGCGGCATCCAAGTTGGGATCTGAAGGAGTGGGGGCGGAGGCCGAGCGAAAGGGAAGGGGTGTGGGGAGAGGAGAGGGCCACGGCCACAGACTAAGATGTTCAGAAAGCAGGAACCCCACTCTCCTGCACTTACACTCATCTGCATCCTTGCAGCAGCTCTATGAAGCAGACGCTGTTGTGACCCCGCTCTTGTCATGGAGAACACAGACACAGAGGAGCTAAGTCAGTTTCCTGTTATCACACAGCTAGGAAGCGATGGCACCACACTGTCTTATTATGAAGAACCCTCCGGAGCCTCTTCACACTAAGTTTATCCCTGTGGCATCCTGTCGTGGTGGCCCTTGCCTGGCAATCTTCTTCATTTAAAAAGCATTGACTGGGTTAGCCTCTGATGACACAAAGGTGGTTAAGATATGATCACTGTCCTCAGGGAGCCCAGAGCCTGACAAAGGAGAAAAATAAATTGATAAACCATAATGCCAAACAGACTCTGATAAGTAGTAAGTACAGTTTAGGAACATTTTCACAAACATCACATATAAACCCACCAGCGGGAGAAGGAAGATTTTGCTGACTGTAGAGTGGTCAGACGGAGCAGGCTAAGTGGAATGAACAGTCAGGATGTGAGTGAGTGTGATATTGCTACAGGCGTGGTGTGGTGTGGACACAGTGAGGGCAGCATCATGGCTGGAGACTGGGGAGAGATGACGAGAATGAAACAAGAGGCTGGAAAGACGGTGTAGGGCCAAGCGGTGCAGGATCCCGAATGCCAGGCTAAGGTGGTGGGACTTACTCCTGACACCGATGCAGAGCCTTTCAAGGTGGGGGAGGAAGCAAGGGACTTGATCTGTCCTGGATTTGGGAAGGCCTTGAACAGACAGCCTGAGCTAACAAATGGCGTGTGGAGAGCGGGTAGAAAAGATATCACCGTAGTGCAGTGGTTAGGACTCAGGGTTTGGATGGAGATGTGAGAGAGGAAGGGCTAAGAAAACTCCAAGCCCCGATTTCCTCTCCTTTGTAGCATGGCACCTGGACTCCCTCTGTGTTCTGGGTCTGTGTTCAACAGGCCTTTGGAAAGTCTGCTCCAGATGCCAGGCAAGAGGGGTCAGGCCAGACTGAGCAGGAAAATCGGGGGACAGCCATGGTCCCCTCCCGACACCCGGCTCCTCCCCTGTGCGCAGGCCTGGTATCCCAGCTTGTTATGCTCATCACTGTGCTTGGTTTTTGTGGGACAAAGAGCAGGTGAAAAGCGGTTCAGAATTACCCCTTTCTGTCCCAGGAGCATAACTCCCTTTGTATTCCAAGACATGTGGCAACTTCCCAATAAACTCTTTTTAATGGTTTGGTTGATTGGGTTGTTGGCTGATGGAAGGAACTAGTAAATAATTTAGTAAACTCCTATGAATTTTTGAGGTCCTTTAATGTTAATCTACTTAATACACTTGCCTTCAAAAGAAGTTTCCCAATTTTATCATTATAATGGCATAAGAACACACCCATTATGCTGAATTTTCCCAGGTCAAGAGCACTGGATAAACAGAAAATTGTTGATTATTTTCCCAAGAACTTAAAGTGAATTGATGGACAAATCTGAGATGAAAGTTCAAGTTTACCACTCTGCAGCCTATATCCAGGTTAACAGGCTACACACTATTCCTCCTTTCACCAGCCATCTGTAAGATTGAGATTCCCCCTGAGGAAAAAATCCTCACATGAAAGAGCACCCCTTTTCTAAAAAGCCTATGAGAACATTCTTGCAACAGAAATTCATTTTCTATACTTTAGCTAACTTCCTAGATCACTCAGTAGTTCCTCCATTCCAATTTTATTTAACAGGTGCCCAGACAATTTTTTAAACTTTCATTTTTTGATTAAATTGAATAGTTACCATCAATTCAATTCTAGAAATGATCATTTTTGGAGTCAGCGATAAGTATCTCCCCACCATCTTTCAGAGTGTTTATGCCATATCTTTCAGCAAGAGCTACAGAGGAGTGCTTCTTAAACTTTAATGCTCCCAGGAGTCTCATTAAGAAAGCAATTCTGTTTCAGCAGGTCTGAAGCGGGCCTGTGGCTCTGCATTTTTAACCAGCTCCCAAGGGCTGCCAATGTTGCTGGTCCATGAACGACAATTCAAATGATAAAGACATAGAAGACACAGAGCAAATAAGGAATTATTTCCATGTTCTCCTTAAAGCTTTCTGGGGAACCACAGAGGGAGCTTGGTATGGGGTGCAGGAGGAAAGACAAGAGCTTTACAGTTGGACAGATTCAAGTTCAAAGTTTACTTCCTCCATTCACTAGCTTCTCTGAGTTTCAACTACTCAGAGAATTATTGAAATTATTTTAGACAATGCACACAAAGAATTTTGTTTATTCTTCTGTGTCGGGCACAGTATAGTGCCTGACAGGAATTGCTGAAGGAATGGTAGCTAGCAATATTGCTCTGGAAAATAACAGCAAGAAGCTAAGTTCTGTTTTTCCATTGACTCAGCTACAGAATTTTGGGGAAGGGGCTATTTGTGGTCACAGGGTACCTGCTATTGTTTGTTGAACACCTGGAGCTCCCACTCCTTCTCCATCCTCACCACCTCAACATGCCTTTCCCCATGGCTCGGTCTCTGCTTTCCCTAGAGAGGCAGTTTATGTTGTCAAAGCCCTGAGCCCCCAAAGACAACCACCTAAACATTGCGGGGGGTGGGGGGAACAGGGTAGGAGCTGTCACAGCTTCATGCACCATCATTCTTTCCAAACCTTCCCCAAGTGCCTGCCTTGGGCCTGTCCCATGCTGGTGTGATCTGGGGAGGAACAGAGACCCTGCCCCCAGGTACCCCTGCATTCTGTCATGTCCCTCTCTGTCCCTGCCATCCAATGAAGGTGAACTCTTCGCCAAGTCACAGAATTGTGGTGTTTGTTCACTAGAATGTAAGCTCCTTGGATGTCATGGTTTTTGCTTATTTTTTCTACTGCTGTGTCACCAGAGCCTTGCATCGTGCCTGGTGCATAGTAGGTGCTCAGTAAATAGTTTCTGAATGAATGAATGAGTGCTGTTCTGCAGATGAAGCTGTGAAAATGGCAGGAACATTGATAAAGGAATCAGAATGGTTTATGTCCCACCCTTGCCACTCTCAGCTGGTGTGACATGTGTGTGTGACATGTACATATGTGTGTGCCTGAGCAAGTAGCTCATGTTGTTGAGCCTCAGTTTCCCCTTCTGTACGCTGAGAATAATGCACACTCATCCCATGGTTAAATGAAATATTGTTTATAAAACTGCCTGACATGTGACACCTGATCAGTCAGTTGCTGGAAGCTGAGTATTCAGTCTTTTCCTGTACCATTTGATAACACCATAGTTTTCTATTGCACAAACATTTAAAAATAGATGCAATGCAAAGATCTTTTGGAATATCTCCAAACTAGAAAAATAGCCTTTGTTTGCCAGAGATTTAAAGTATGTCTGTATATGTACAGAGACCTGAGAATGCATATGAATCTGACACTGACAAATGTGGAGCATGTGGAAATGCCAACCATCCTGTAATAAATCTGCTCTGGGGGAGGAGAGTAACGTTGCCTGGAGATTTTCATCCATTTGAAAATGTTACCGTTCTCCCAGGGAAAGCCAGAGAATGGCAGTGGGACAGTTGGATTCAAGTGCACTGACATTTCATCACTGACTGACACCACCGATGAATTTAGAAGCCAGAAGAGATGGCCACATTGCTTCATATGGAATTAAGAAAATGGCACATTACAAAGAGAAGGAGCAAGCTGCCCAAGCTCTCTGATAGTTTTCTTTTGTCATAGACTATTCCAGAGTAAAGGTTAGGTAATGAAATGTCAATAGCTAGTAACTTTAGTTGAGAAAAACCCAAGGGCACACTTTACAATAGCTTACCACCTACCGAGTACTTTGTGTATGCCAAGCATTGGGCCAAGCACTCTACCTGGAAAATGTTATGAATCCCCACAAAAACCCTTTACCATTCAGATGAGCAAACTGAGTTGTAAAGAGGTGAAGTGATTTGCCCAGGTTTTACAGCCAGGAAGGGGCACAGCCAGAGCTCTAATCCAGGTCTGGATGATGGGAGACCGCCCCCCTGACATCATTAGAAGGTTGAGAGGTGGGACTGGAGTGGGCACGAAGAAGATGAAAGATTCTGCTTGACTTGGAAGTTCTGCAGGGTTGAGTTTCAGAGTCAGACAACAGGTGCAACCTGCCACTTAGTGGCTCTGTGTTTTTGAGCATGCTACTTAGCTTTTCTCCTTTGAAGCATGAGAGGTTTAATGGTAATAATAATAACAAATAACTTTATATTATGTGTCAAGCACTCACTGTTCAAATATTTGATGCATAGTATCTCTCAAAGCATTTACAACTCTTATAAAGGAAGTACTATTATTTCTCCCATTTTCCAGAGACAGAAACTAATGATGAGGAGGAGGGCCTAGCATACAGTAAGTGAACAATAATTGACAGCTATTACTAGGATGCAGCATTGCCTTCTTGCTCACTTTTTGCAGGTTGTCCTGCATCAGGACAACACTTCCATGCCCAGTTTTCCCCCAAACCCCCTCTCCCCGACCCCTCTCCCACTTCACAACCAGCCTGCCCCAAAATGTCAGAAATAAAATTTTGCCAATACTTCTTCTAGTGGTGATCAGGTGGTCTCTCTACCCCAACTGCCTATTTTATTTTTCTATGAAATACCAAAATTTAACTCCTCAGCATTTAAGCTCTAGAGGAAAGACTCAACAAGCTGATGAGTAAAATATATATGCTGGTACAAAATAAGGATGCCCATAAGCATTAGTTTGGGGATGCTGAAAGTATTCAAAGAAAGTTTCATGGTCTGCAGCTTGCAATGTACCAGACACTATACTTAGCCTGACTTTTTAAATGGACACACTCAGTCTTAAATTACATACAGTTATTGTCCCCACTTTACAGATGTGGAAACTGAGACAGAGAGTGTAAGCCACTTGGTCAAGGTCACGGTGTCTGCCGAGCCAACACCATAACCCAGCATTCTGACTCCAGACCCTGGGCTCCTGGGCTTCTTGCTTAAGGGGCCCTAACTCAAGCAAAACATCTAAGGTCCAAGTTCATCTTCAACAGTCTGCACTTATGTTCCTCATCTGTAAAATGAGAGGCTGTAATTAATGATCTCTGAGAATCCTACATCTTCAGAAAAGTGGATTCTTGGATATAATCCTATCTACCTATGAGGTTGAGGATAGAACCTCCAATTTTACAGATATGGAAATGAAGATCAGATCCCCAAGGTAGTAGAGGGCAGAGAATTGTCTTCTCTGACCTCAAATTCATGTCCTCTCCTATGAAGAGGCTGCCTTTGCAAGTTCAGGATCACTGCTACCTGTGATGCCAGTTATCATTCTTTATCTAACCCATTCATTTCTGAAATCAATTTGGATTTT